CTGCCAGGGCCAGTACCAGCACCACCGCCACCACTCCTACCACCTCTACTGGAAGGACTACGTCTACTACTACTACTACTACTACTACTACTACTACTACTACTACTACTACTACTACTACTACTACTACTACTACTACTACTACTACTACTACTACTACTACTACTACTACTACTACTACTACTACTACTACTACTACTACTACTACTACTACGACTACTACGACTACGACTACGACTACTACTACTGCTACTACTACTACTACTACGGCTACTACTTCTTCTACTACTACGACTACCACCACCACCACTACCACTACTACCACTACTACTACTACTACCACTACTACTACTACTACTACTACTACTACTACTACTACTAGTACTAGTACTAGTACTAGTACTAGTACTAGTACTAGTACTACTACCACTACGACTACGACTACGACTACGACTACGACTACTACTACTACTACTACTACGACTAGACTTAGTACTAGTACTAGTACTACGACGACGACTACTACTACTACTACGGCTACTGCTACACCAGCAACTACTACTACTACTACGACTACTACTACTACTGCTACGGCGGCTACTACTACGACCTCTACTAAAACGACTACCACCACTATCACTTCTAATACGAACACGGCTACTACTCCTACTACTACTACTACTACCACTACTACTACGGCTATTACTACGGCTACTACTACTTCTTCTACTACTACTACTACTACTACTACTACTACTACTACTACGACTGTTACTACCACTACCACTACCACTACTACTACTACTACTACTACTACTACTACGACTACTACGACTACTACTACTACTACTACTACTACTACTACGACTACTACGACTACGAGGACTACGAGGACTACGAGGACTACTACGACGACTTCTACTACTACTACTGCTACTGCTACTACTACTACTACTACTACTGCTACTACTACAACTACTACTACTACTACTACTACGACTACCATTACTACTACTACTACGACGACTACTACTACTACTACTACTCATACTAGTACTAGTACTAGTACTACTACTAGTACTAGTAGTACTAGTAGTACTAGTACTACTAGTACTACTGGTACTACTGGTACCACTAGTACTACTACTACGACTACTACTACAACGACGGCCGCGACACTTATTATTACTACTACTACTACTACTACTGCGACTACGACTACGATTACGAAAAACTACAAGTACGTCGACGACGTCGACGACGACGACGGCGACGACGACGACGACGACGACGACGACTACCACTATCACTATCACTACCACTACCACTACCACTACTACACTACCACTACTACTACTACTACCACTACTACTACTACTACTACTACTACTACTACTACTACTACTACTACTACTACTACTAGTACTAGTACTAGTACTAGTACTACTACTACTACTACTACTACTACTACTACTACTACTACTACTACTACCACCCATACTTTTACCCCAACGGCGGCTACTACTAGAGTTGTTGTCTTTGTACTTGTACAGAAGCTGTACTTGCACTCGTGTGAACGAGCTGTCCCTGCAAACGTGTGCGAGAGTCGCACGTGCACCTCCTAAGGCACGGGAGGAGAGGACGGATGGAAGGAAGGGGCAAGGGGGAGGGAGGATGGAACACGAAAGAGAGAGAGAGAGAGAGAGAGTAGCAGGAGGGGGGCTAGGAGCAGAGAGCACGTGGCAGAACCAGACAGGCAAATCGGACGGGTATACCCAAACGGGCGGGTCGGGAGGGCGTGCCCAGGCGGCCATGTCGAGCAAACGGGCTGCTGAAACGTGCTTCCTGCATGAAGGGCGAGAAATCTCAAGCGACAGCGCGATTCCCAAATGAAAACCGTAGGGAAGGCCAAGGCGAAAGCGTGAACTCAGAGATTCGAGGGCGCGTCGTCTGAATAAATTGCAAGGGGATCCCACGCGAGAGCGCGATTCCTGTATACATTTTGGAAAGTCCCGCGCGAGAGCGCGATTTGGGAATACATTGTGGTGAAATGTGAGGCGGGGGCCGTTGAGCTCTCACTTCTGAAGAATACCTATTGTTGATCCCCCCCCCGCCCGGTGCACATTGTTTTTTTGATTGAAGTGCCCCTCCTGGGGCTCGCACCTTGTTTTTTATCAAGGAAAATCTGAAGTCAAACTGTGTCGTTGGCCCCTGGTTTACAACAGCAGCGGCTCCCGCCTGACACTTCCTCACAATTTATTGAAGGATCGCGCTCTCGCTTAGGACTTCCTGGCGATTTACCACCGAATCGCGGCTCCCGCCAGATACTTCCAGACAAATTATTGCAGACTCGCGTTCTCGCTTGGGACTTCCTCGCAACTTACCACCGAACCGCTTCGCATTATATGTCCTTACAATTCATTCGGATGCTGGTCCTTGGCGCTCCGGAATCGCGCTCCCGCTGCATATTGCCCGGCGGTTCAAGCAGGACTCACGCTTCAACGACCCGCCCGCTCGACACGCCCGTCGGGGCCTGCCCGCCCGACCAGCTCGTTACTGACTGCAGTCGCCGCTCGCTGCCCTTCGCCCGTTTTCGATGCCCCTCGCTGCCCGTACTGGTTCCGCGGTCGCCTTCGCTCGCTGCCCTTCGTGGCCCCGTTGCTGCCCTCAGTGGCCCCGTCGCTGCCCTTTGTGGCCCCACATTATATGCCCTTCGTGGCCCCCGCCCGCACGCGCCCGTCGGGACCCCATAAGCATGCCCTTCGTAACCCCGCTGTCGCCCTTCGTGGCCCCCTCGCTGCCCTTCGTGGCCCCTTTGCTGCCCTCAATGGCCCCGCTGTCGCCCTTCGTGGCCCTGTATACGAATGCCCTTCGTGGCCCTGCTGTCGCCGTTTGTGGCCCCCTCGCTGCCCTTCGTGGCCCCGCTGCCGGCCTCAGCGGCTCCGTCGCTGTCGTCTGTGGCCTCGGATGTTATGCCCTTCTTGGCCCACGCTGGCTTTCCTCACGATTTACCTGGGAATCGCACATTCGCTCGAGACTTCCTCGCGATTCATGCAGGACCCATGCTTCAGCAACCCGCCTGTACGACCTTGTCGCCTGGGCCCGCCTTCCCGACCTGCCCGCTATGGATCTGCCCACCCGATCTGCCCGTCTGGTTCTACCACTTGTTTTCTGCTCCTTGCCCGCCTCCTGCTAACTTCTCTCGTGCTCCATTCTTCTCCCTCCCCCTTCCACCCGTCCTCTCCTCCCTTGTTTTAGGGGCTGCACTAAATACACGTGGCAAATAAGGAAGATCTACCCCCAAGGGAATACGATCGAAGACGACGAGGGCGGGTACCGAGGGTTTGGGATTTACATATTGATTGGCACGTGAGCAGATAAGAGCGAACAATGTTAAACTGATTGCTGTTGTCGTTGTTGGTTTAAGCCGGGGGCCAGGGGCGCAATTTGGCGACACCTCGCTTTCCCTTGTAAAACGCAGGGGGCGAGCCCCAGGAGAAGCACTTTCATGGGAAACATACAATGGTTGCCGGGGAGATGGGATTAACAACAAAGAATTCTGTAGAACTGAAAACTCAACAACAATAACAACCGGCACCGCGGAACCCCACTGCAGCCATGTACCCAGTGACACTGAAGGACCGTTCTGCTCCTCACCCTGATATACTTACATATAGAAACATACCAGTATGTACTTACAGACAGAAACAGAAAGAGAGAGAGAAAGAGAGAGAGAGAGAGAGAGCGAGAGATGGAGGGAGACAAAGAGGGAGGCACCCACACACACATACATATACACACATGTAAGTCCAGATGTAAAGAGAAAGAGAGATGAGAGAGAGAGAGAGAGAGAGAGCGAGAGCGAGAGAACGAACAAAACAGAGAAAGAAAGAGCGAGAGAGAGAGAGGGAGAGGGGGAGGGGGGAAGAGAGCCGCAAACCAGAAGGGGGTGGGGGCGCGCCCGTCGCGCAGCAAGGCGAACGCCGACTGAGAGCGGCTTCGTTATGCTTCGGGGGGCCGGAAGAGGAGGAGGAGGAGGAGGAGGAGGAGGAGGAGGAGGAGGAGGAGGAGGAGGAGGAGGGTCGCACCTGCTCCACTCCCCAGCATGCTCATGCAGTTGTCGAGGGAGGTTGAGATGACACAGCCAACCCGTATACTCAGGACGTGCGATGAGGATGCAAGGGCCTCGGACGGCCATTTCGGAGCTCTCCGAGCGGGGCGCGGCCAACGAAAGCGGCAAAGGATGGAACAGGGAGGCAAGGATGCAAGGGTACCCTGCGGGTTGACTGCAGCTCGTGGGCTCTCGCTGGATGCCGGGCTCTGCCGCCTCCGCTCTTCGGAAAGGCTGCGGCCGCCGCTCCCTGGCGCTTCCAAGGTGCGCGTGTGCGCCGGGCAGCCCGCCGGAGACAAGGAGGGCGAAGCGCTGCCATCGAAACGTGGCCACAAGAACGCGGGTCATTACCAGCCTCGAACGTATCCCTATCCCTAAGATTGACTCGCCGAAAGGCGATGGCGATCTTAGGGATTCGCCCTCAATGAATAAGGGAATCCCTAAGATTGGCATCGTGATGAGGAGGTGCCCAGCATGGGGATAGGGATATGTTCCAGGCTGGTATGGTCAGGAGCACGATCCCGTTCGCCGAAGGTCTGGGGGCAGCACGGAGGAGCCCGAGTCGAAGAGCACACCAGGGCAGAAGGCTCCAGACTCGAGGGCCACGGAGGGTACCCGTAGAAGGCTCAGGCTTGCTCTTGACCCTCGGGCCAGTTCGACGCGAAGGACGAGCATCTGCACAAACGCATCACTTCGGGGGTCCGCGCGAGCTTCTCGGGTCGGCGCTGGGCCCACCCTGGCGCCGCCTCTGGCGCAGCCGCGCACGACGAACCGCACACACACACAGTCTGCAGGAGCGCAAGAAAGCCAAGACTTGCGTGCAAGCGTACACATCGAACAACCCTCAACCATGCACCTGTGAAACTGCCGGCGGCGAGAGCAGAACCTG